AGTATCCACCTCAAGTGGACTGCAGCGGTTCCAAAGGCATTATCACCTCAAAGGCAACGAGGGATGGGTAGTAAATGCTGGCCCAGCCAACTATACCCACATCCTCTGAATGAATAAGCAAGAAGTTGGCCTCAATTATACTGGAGCGGCCTACAAACATCAGCTGTATAGACTTGTGACTGATGAAGGATGGTGCTGTAGGGGTAATTTTGGCAGATACATCATCCAGAGCCCTATGCTATCATCAATACCTGCCACTCCTCCATGGTTATGTCCATGCCCGAGTACCATTGGAGAAGGGAGCATGAGGTGTCCATCTATATTCTCATGCCTTTAGATTTAGTCTGTTCCCACTCTCCCTATCCCTCCCTCACCTGGATGGTTTGAATTGCATGGAATGGGCTTTACACACAAACCTCTAATTTGCTACACAGATGATTTACTGGTGGCAGTTAATAGTTAGAAACAAAACAAAGTGATTTGGTGGTGGGAAAGCCATTTGGTTGTGTGTGATAACATTTCCAGATAGGAAAAAACACAGAATCAGTGCAGATTATCTGCCCCACTTCTGTAGTTATGCTTGTGCCTGGTGTCCTTGGAAAGGGAGTATGTGGTTTCCATCAACGCTCTCGATGCCTTCAGACAGAGTTGGGCACCGAGGGGGATACAGTGTTTTATCTTTCCCTCCAACTCCATTTTAATTTAGGTCTTTCCTGCTCTCCCTATCCCTCCCTCATTGGGCTTTGCATATAAATATTCAATTGGCTACATGGGATATTTAATGTGGTGGTCAATAGTTAAAAACCAAAAAGAAAGCCATGGTGATTTAATGGTGGGAAAGCTATTTGGTTGTGTTTGATAACACTTCCCGATACAAGATTAGGCAGACCCAGGCTGGGAGGTGGTTGTATTGTGGTAATGGCACTAGACTAGCAATCTATAGCACCCCCCGCCACCGCACTCCCTCCCAGGTTTTAATGTCCTGGGGACTTAGGTGCAGATCCTACTGTGGCAGATGGTGAAATTTGAATTCAACAAACACTTGGGATTTAAGAAAACTGGATTAACTATAACCACTTTCAATTGATGTAAAAAGCCATCCGATTCATTAATGTCCTTTCAGGACAGAAGTCTGCTCTGGTCTACACGTGACTCCAGCCCCACAGTACCGGGCTCGACTTCAAGAATAAAGCAGACCCAGAGCTGGGTCTGCAGAACTGTCTGTCTCTGGCTGGGGCTAGCCTATGTACACCATGAGGAGAGGCCAAATGCTGGCAAATGGGATTAGATTAGTTTAGGATATCTGGTCAGTGTGGACGAATTGGACTGAAGGGTCTGTTTCTGTGCTGTACATCTCTATAAGTCCATGATTAGTGGCTCTAGTTTGGCATTCAACAATAAACAATATTCCTTTCCAGTTGAGCTTCCTGAGTTATTATAGTACCACAAAAGGAAACATCTTTTCCACACCCTCCTCGTCAAAACCATTCAAGATTTTATACGGTTCAATCAAGTCACCCCTCCATCTTCTAAACTCCAAAGAATAAAATCCCAGCCTGTCTAAACTTTTCCAATTAGACAACCCACTCATTCCAGGGAACAATCCAGTAATTCTCCTCTGTGCTGCCTCCTATGAAATTACATCCTTCTATAAATAAGGAGACTAAAACTGCACCCACTGTTCACATGGTAGCAGAGATCTGTCACCAGTCAGTGGATGCCAACCGGCTCAAACATCCCAGCCAGAGGGAGGAGAGTGTCTGGATCCACACTGCTAGTGAGAAGTTACCCTGATCACTCTTTTCCCAGGGATTCAACCTGGTTTGGATCAGGAATTCTCGGACTGAGGGTTACTAGTCACTTCAAAAGGAATTGAGGCCCGGAGGTGGGGGGAGAAGCCAGGCAAATGACAGGCTCTGGGGGAAAAGAGCAGGGAAGTGGTACAAAGTGGATACATCAACTAGGGAACGAAACAGCTTCCTGCAGCGTTCGATCATTCCAGAAAAATATACGCAATCTCAAGCAGGACTTGAGAGGACTGCCAGGTTGGTAAATTTGTACTTTAAAAACAGTCATGAATCGACACTCTCTTTTACCCCATCCTACACTGGGAGTGACCCCCACCAGCAGAGTTGTCAATTGTAATTGAGCTTATCCCTGGAGGTTTAATCACATGACAACCTCCCCCCACCAACCCCACACAGGCTGCATCCATTTTGTGGGCAACATGTCCTTGTGACAAGCTCAGAGAGACTGCTGGAGACAGAGCCAGCAGGTCTGGCTATGTCTGTGAACAGAAAATTAATGTCGAGTCTGATGGGACACTTCATCCATTCATCTTCATGCCTCGCTGCCTTCCTGCACCAATCAGAAAGTAAAGTGGCTCAGCAGACAGCAGTGTTATCTCAGAGTGCCAAGGACCCAAGTTTGATTCCACCCTCAGGCAAGTTTGTGTGGAGTTTGCACATTCCCCATGTCTGTGGGAGTTTTCTCTGGGTGCTCTGGTTTCTTCCCACAGGCCAGTTGGATAGGCCATGCTAAATTACCCATAGTGTGCAGGCTAGGTGGATTAGCCACAGGAAATCCAGGGTGGGATGCTCTTTGGAGGGTCGGTGTGGACTCAATGGAAAATGGCCTGCTTCCACACTGTAGGGATTCTACGAAAGCAAAAACACCCATTCCCAATTGGATGATGCTTGGCTCACAGCCTTTTCTCCCATCCCCTTTTCCATAAAGAAATGTTCAAATAACAAAAACAAAACAATTTAATGTGCTGGAGTTTGATTGTCATTTCCTGGAGGCCCGAGGTCAAGCCTGAGGGGAGTTGCCAACCCTACCTGGGTGATCAGCCCAGGGTGAACACTTGTGTACGGCCAAACTGTCCAACTGCAGGGAGACAGTGTAGGAAGCTGTATCTGTTAGTGCTCACCAACATCTGACCCCACATTCCCCCAGGAAATGGAGAGGGAGCACACTGTTACTAGAAACCTGACTGTCATTCAAAACAGCCTTCCATCCTGCCACCATCCCAAAATACTTTTATAATGAATGCACTTCAAATAATAAACCTTTCAATATCCAAGTTTTTTTTTAAATCTGAGAGATTCATAGAGTCAGAGTTATACAGCACAAAAACAGATTCTTTGGTCCAACTTGCCTGCGCCGACCAGTCATCCCAATCTGACCTAGTCCCACATGCCAGCATTTGGCCCATATCCCTCTAAACCCTTCCTATTCATATACCCATCTAGATGCCTTTTAAATGTTGTAATCGTACCAGCCTCCACCACTTCCTCTGGCAGCTCATTCCATACACGCACCACCCTCTGCGTGAAAAAATGGCCCCTCAGGTTCCTTTTAAATCTTTCCCCTCTCACCTTAAACCTATCTCCTCTAGCTTTGGACTCCCCTACTCTCAGGAAAAGGCCTTGTCTATTCACCTTATCCAAGCCCCTCAATGATTTTATAAACTTCTGCAGGGTCACCCCTCAGCCTGACACTCCAGGGAAAATAGCCCCAGCCTTATCAGCCTCTCCCTGTAACTCAAACCCTCCAGGTCCCAGCAACATCCTTGTAAATCTTTTCTGCACACTCTCAAGTTTAGCAACATCCTTTCTATAAATGGGAGACCAGAATTGTACAGTTTCCCAAAATTGGCCTAACCAATGTCCTGTACAGCCACAACATGATCTCCCAACTCCTATACACAACGCACTGACCAATTAAGGCAAGTATACCAAACACCTTCTTCACTGCCCTGTCTACCTGTGCCTCCACTTTCAAGGAACTATGCACAGCACCTCTAGGTCTGGTAACAGTTTGTCAGGCAACACACCCCAGGATCCACTCCTCATTAAGTGTATAAGCCCTGTCTTGGTTTGTCTTACCAAAATGCAACATCTGACATTTACCTAAATTAAATGCCGTCTCCCACTCCTCAGTCCATTAGCCTATCTGATCAAGATCGCCTTGTACTCCGAGATAATCATTTCACTCTCATCTTGAACTCCTGGAGATGTCAGGCAGAATTGAATGGTCAGTGAGTGGTAAGGACAAGACTCTGCATTTCGAGGCAGATCTCATGAACATCAGTGGCATTAGTTCACAGAATCATCCAGGCCAAAAAGGTGGCCATTTGGCCCATTGTCGCTCTGGTGGAACTATCCAATTAGTCACATGTTTGTTGCTCTTCTGCTGCAGCTCTGAAAATTGGATAAATATTTGTAAAAGCAGCAATGTCTGAAATAATTCCACAGAGGCCAGTATCCTGTCACAATGTCGCCCTTTATTTACACGTGGAAAGTCAATGACACTGATCCAGCTCCCTCAGAGCCAGCTCTCAGAGTGAACAGGATGTCTGACTCTCCTGTTTATATCTGTCAGCCAGGGCTCCCTTATTAGTCCAGATTAACAGCCCCAATCAGGGAATTCACTCCTTGGAGTCCATCTGGCTGACCTTGTTACAATCACTACAGTATCCATTTGGTAAAAGAGGCCACAACCCATCTCAGCGTTTCAAGGCTCCTGGGCCAGGTGCTTATGTTAAGCTTAGTGTGTACATTACATTGACCCAGAGAAAGGTACTGAACTTCTCTTCACTCTCTGGGGACCAATAACCCCACAGAGATCTAGAATACTTGCTGCTGCTTGGTTTAGGCTCTGTAAGAGGTTTGTCAGCCTTCAAAGTAAAACCCATGTTATTTACAGTGACTGGTCAAGTCTCAGAGGTGGGTGATATAGATTCACACATGCCACTGCGATACTTGAGTAATGCTTACAGCATTTATTGAATGGGAAGGCGTCCCTCTATCTGCCCAGGAACAAATAAATCTGTAAAAAAAAAACACACAAAAAAAAGGTGTTTCAGGAGATGGGGTGGAGGGGTGGGGGAGGGTTGCTGCTAACCCAAAATTGCAAACATAATTCTAATTCCCCAGAATTCAGGCTATAAATTTCTCCCACATCCCCCACATCACAAAACAAATAAAGCAACCAGCCCATAACAGATGATCACATCATTTATCACACTGTGGGATCTGACTGTGTGTTAACTCGCAGTCTCATTTCCTGTATTACAATAGAAACTATGCTTCCACAATAAACTTCATTGGCTGTAAAGTACTTCAGGACGTCCTGAAGTTGTATTTATATAGCACCTTTCATCACGAGTTCTTTCTTTTCTTAGAACGAGCTGGTGTTTGAGGCCAGGGTGAAATCCAGGGAGTATCATCTAGCAGTTGGATGTAGAGAAGGGGTCGTGATCCAGGCTGCCCTCTCTTGCATGCATGTGCCACAGTTTGGATCTGGATTTGTTGGACAAGTTGGGAAGGGCAGAAAAATGGTAGCTAGAAAAAAGGTAAGATTCCTGTTTCATTTTAGCAGCGACCATTTAATCTGATCCTTTGCTGACTGAAGGACCTAGAAAGAGATAACAGGAGGTTATTCATATATCAATTCTCTTTAAACAAATTTCCTTGTTCTCCCTAACCTTCAGTGACTGCCTTTCATCTCACTTGTATCTCTCTATTGTGGTCAGAATCCCTCTAGCATCCCTACAAATACTCTCAGCATGAAGACCATTGCTGGATATGGCGATATTTTGGGAGTTATTGTGAGCAGGAGATAGGAATAGAACGGTACAAAAATTAAGCATGAAAATCACAAGAAATACAAACACATGAGACTGTGACAATGTTAGTAAAGCGATGTTCTCAAATCATTCATTCCTAATGACAGACTCAGTACTGTACCCCAGTGCTGTACAGTGTCAGACCTGCCCCCACCGGCACCGTACCCCAGGGTCAGACCTGCCCCCACCGGCACCGTACTCCAGTGTGAAACAGTGTCAGATTGAAGATTAATTTAAGCCACTGATCTGGCCACACTCTTACTGGGAAAGTCTCCAGCTCACTCTTTAAATATCTTAGGTACAGGTGCTACCGTAGTCTGAACACACTGGCTTTGCTCCCACACTCCGGCCCTCTGGTGAGTTGTGCTACTTGTTCCATTTGGAGCAAGAGATAAACATTTCAACTTGTTGTGGAATCTGACACAATGTCCACTAGAGATGGTTTAGTCAGCAAAAAAAAAAAAGAAAGAAAGAAAGAAAGCAAGCAAGCCAGTGGAATTCAGGAGAGACACCCTTACAGACCACAGTTAGGGTGTGCACCTTGTTACCATGCAGGTTAGGTACACAATCACAGGGACGCTGAATAGCACATGGAGAAAGAAAGGAAAGACAGGATTCGCTGCTGGGGCATGAGGAAGCAAAGGGTGTGGGGTGGTGTAGAATCTGGTGATGAACAGAAACATCAACGTGGAACTGTTAAACCAAGGATGTAAATATGATTGACCAAATGGCCTCTTTCTGCACAGAAACTGTCTGTGATTCTGCATCCAGTTCTGTGCTACGATTCAGACATACAGATGGCAGAGAGAAACTTACATTGTTAGTGACTCCCAGCCTTCTGGAGATTTGCTACACAGACAAGACAGAGACACGGGGGTTAGAACATGAAGCTCAAACACGTTGTACACTGCATCCAGCCAGCACTGCCCAGGAACAGCATCAGCTGGACTTACAAACCTAGGAGGTTAGATAATTGGTAGACACAGAGAGAGGGAGCAGTCTTTGTGGTGGGGGAAATACAGAACAAGGACAATAGATTCTGGTCTGTTCAGAGGTGAAACCAGCATCACTTTCAGACAGAGAGCAGGGGAGTGGAATTCTGGAATTTTCTTCCACCAAATAGCTGTACATACACGGAACCTTCAAGATCAAGGTAAATAGGTGTTTTTTTGTGGGAGGTTCTCAAAAGGACACTGGACAAAGCATTTCGGGCGGAGCCCGGTCACAATCGGACAGTGAAAATACATAAGACGCTGAGAGACCGCCTCCTGTTCCAGTAACCCTTCCTTCTTAAAGGAATATCACAATAAGCTTAATATTTCCTGTTAATTTTTCATTCTTCAAACTGCAATGCAGCAACACCTGTTCCTGAAGTATTTTCTACACCTTTCCTCTACTGGAGATTTTCTCACATGAGGGTGTAGAATGTCTCCATCAGACAGATTGTCCTGTCTTATGGATGAAGGAGCATCCTTCATGTGGGAGCCCACACAGCACCTGTTACCTGGTGCTGGGGTGGAATAAGAAGATCAAGCTCAGTCTCACTCTCTGATCAAACACTCACTCGGTCACAATCTCTGAGTCACCAAGCCCTTTCAACAGGACAATGAACAATGGCACATAAGCAAAAGGTTACAGCAGAAACACAGATAACACAGTGTGGAGCTGGAGGAACACAGCAGGCCGGGCAGCAGGAAAGCTGACGTTTCAGGTCAGGACCCTTCTACTAGCTTTTAAAACACAGACAGAGAGTGTATGGAAGTGCAGTGAGGATTGTGAACCACGGGTCAAGAGATTTCACACCAACACAAGGAACATTCTAGACCTTCACTCTTGGTAAACATCAGACAGGAACTGAGATAACAAGGTGTAGAGCTGGATGAACACAGCAGTCCAAGCAGCATCATAGGAGCAGGAAGGCTGACGTTTCGGGCCTAGGCCCTTCATCAGAAATGGGGGAGGGGAAGGGGGTTCTGAAATAAATAGGGAGAGAGGGGGAGGCGGATAGAAGATGGATAGAGGAGAAGATAGGTGGAGAGGAGACAGACAGGTCAAAGAGGCGGGGATGGAGCCAGTAAAAGTGAGTGTAGATGGGGAGTTAGGGAGGAGATAGGTCAGTCCAGGGAGGATGGACAGGTCAAGGGGGGGGGGTGAGGTTAGTGGGTAGGACAGGGGGGGGGGGCTTGAGATGGGAGGAGGGGATAGGTGGGAGGAAGGACAGGTTAGGGAGGCGGGGACGAGCTGGGCTGGTTCTGGGATGCGGTAGGGGGAGGGGAGATTTTGAAACTTGTAAAATCCACATTGATATCATTGGGCTGCAGGGTTCCCAAGCGGAATACGAGTTGCTGTTCCTGCAACCTTCGGGTAGCATCGTTGTGGCACTGCAGGAGGCCCAGGATGGACATGTCATCTGAGGAATGGGAGGGGGAGTTGAAATGGTTCACGACTGGGAGGTGCAGTTGTTTATTGCGAACCGAGCGTAGGTGTTCTGCAAAGTGGTCCCCAAGCCTCCGCTTGGTTTCCCCGATGTAGAGGAGGCCACACCGGGTACAGCGGATGCAGTATACCACATTGGCAGATGTGCAGGTGAACATCTGCTTGATGTGGAAAGTCTTCTTGGGGCCTGGGATGGGGGTGAGGGAGGAGGTATGGGGGCAGGTGTAGCACTTCCTGCGGTTGCAGGGAAAAGTGCCGGGTGTGGTGGAGCTGGAGAGGAGTGTGGAGCGGACAAGGGAGTCACGGAGAGAGTTGTCCCTCCGGAAAGCAGATAAGGGTGGGGAGGGAAAAATGTCTTAGGTGGTGGGGTCGGATTGCAGATGGCGGAAGTGTCGGAGCATGATGCGT